TATCTAATTAAAATAATATCTATAATATTAATGATAAAATTATTGTTTTTTTCAATTAAACCACTACTCTGGAGAATCTTAGCAACATTTTTTTTTTTTTATGGGAAGATGCTAATAGAAAGTTGTGCACATAAAATGATAAAAATAAGGAAGTCAATTCTCGTTTCAGCTTTCAATTTCCCAAATGAAATTTCTGTGCGTTTTCGTTATTTGTCGGATTTCAAGACCATGACAGATAGGTCGTGGAGTAGTACATTTTCTGCGGAATGACTAGTGCTTGTCCTAATTTTGTGCGGCTCCATCCCGGGTGGTGTGATTGCGACCGATCATTTTGTTAACGTGATTTAATTTCAGAATAATGACAGACAAGATGAAAAAAAATTTTAAATTAATTATTATTTTATTTTTAAAATAAATAAATATTTTAATTTTAATTTTATTATTATTTTGTTACTTTAATTTAATTATTTAAGTATAAATTTTTTTTATTATTTTAACTTTTTTCTAAATTATAAATAAATATAATGGAACAATGTCTATACACTTTACTTTTTAATAATTAGAAAGAAAATCATTATAAAATTAAATTGTTTCAATAAATTTTCATTAAAAAGCATTGAAAAAAATTATTTTTAAAATATAAATTAAAGTATTTTTTGTCATTATTTGTGGTACGTAATTTTAAAATATATATTTTTTTATTTTGAACTTCAGAACTTTTGGATTGGACAATTGACTAGAAGTCTAATGGAGCCGCCGGACTGGGACTTGTTAGAATTAGAACCGTAGAACTTTGCAATGACCAATTGTTTTAGGTATATATTTTTTCAAAGACAAGCATTCACAAACATCATAGCACTCCTGAAAATTATAAAGTTTGACCAACGTTTTCCAAAGTCCATTCATTGGTAAGGACTGTGGAGTGGTCTACGTACACGAGTCCACTCCATCGAATTTGCGACCACTTGTATGACATTTTTTTTTTTTTTTCGGGTTTCTCGCCCGATATTTGGGACTTCACCCAGACTAATTTGGACTCGACCCGCGTCGCGCACTTAAAAATGGTGGGTGAGTCTCCCAGCGGGAGCTGCTGCATACACAAGGACTCGAACTCGAGATCTTATTTAAACTGAAACAAACCGCTTATCACTTGATCCAACCCCGTGTTGATAATCACTTGTATGACATGATGATCGAAAAGTGTGAAACGAATGATGCCCTTTTTCACAATATACTACCTGTTTGGACGGAATATTGATGGTCTTCCAGACATCAGGCTGACCGGACAATGCCTTGAAGCTCTGAAACAAGCCGGTTTTGAGGTGAGTTATTTGTTTTCTTTTTGATTTTAGGTTACATTCCTTTTGCATGGTTTTTTGT